AGTTTTCAGGTCAGTGGCTTAGTTTTTCTCTATTTCTTCTCCTACCGAAGTCTGTTATGAAATGTGTTATTAACTTGGATTTTGGGAAGGGGTATTTATTTTACAATAATTTATTAAACTATACATGTATGTAAATTATATTTAACAAGAAAAAGTTAAATATTGAGATTTGAAGGACACTGAAACTTCCTAGTCTTATTTTTTATTCCCTTTACAGAATATATTACTATAAGCTAGATCTGGATTAGAAGTCCTATAGGGAACTTACACTCAGTATTTTCAAAAATGGATTCACAGGAACAAATTTAAAGGACACATGGACAAAAACTAACAGGGGTGGAAATGGGAGGGAGGTGGGGAGCACTGGAGGGGTGGGCTGGGATGGGAGTAAAAGAAAACTGTACTTGAACAATAATTAAATAAATTTTTAAAAATCTAAAAAAAAAATGAACTTACTGTCTTCTATCCTTTCTCACTTCCTCTCTCCTTCCCACACTCACTTCCTTTTTTTTACTTCATTCTTTCCACATGCAATTATTGGTTACCTGCTTCATCCAGGCACAGTACTAGGGAACAGACACACAATCACAAACAGGGTAGTTACAACTTTGGTCTTCATGCAACTTATAAATTAGCTAGTAAGAAGCATTCAACAAATGAATTACAGAAATAATTCTATCAAAATCGAGCTGATGAGTGTGATGAAGGAAAGCTCAGAATTCAGTGCAAGCAAGTAACGTATAAATTAGGTGGAAACCTGGCTCAATCTGGGGGTTGATGGGAAGAGTCATGGAGGCCAATCCTGAGCTGGGATGAGCTGGGTGTGGGGAGGTTACTAAGCAAGGTAACATAATTTCCTGCAGTCTGATGTGTCTTTTTTAAACATTGTTTTCTTTTTAAACACAATCATCTTCTCATTTACCCAGGGTTAAAATCTTCATTGTCTGTCTTTGACACTCTATTCTCTTTTGCCTCAACAAATAATCAGTGGCCCCATTTTCCTGATTCTGCATCTTCTTTGTTCTATTCCCATAAATAACTGGATTCCCATTCTCACTACATTATTTATGTTCTTCTTTACCTATTTCCTACAGTTTTATTTTAGAGTGGTTTTTATTTTTCCAAACCAGTCTTTGTACCTTCAGTATTTTCCCCTTTCACAGCCAACCAATCCTTGCACACGCAGATGCTAGATTAACTCTCTGGAACATACTTCTGATATCAACTTAAAGAAGTTTAGTGGAGTGTCAGCTGATGAAATAAAATCTGAATTCCTCCTGACATTATTAAAAGCTTAAGAAAAACTGACCTCGTGTCTGTTTTGAAGCTTGATTTTCAGTATTCCCTTTCATGTTCTCCTAACTGTATACTCCACATTCCAAAGCTTTTCTCACAACCAGGCCTTTGTCTTGGGCTCTCTTCCCCTTTCCTCTTTGTTACATACTTAAACCTGTTTCTCCTTCATGTTCGTGCCCAAATGTTCACCCTCCCAGAATAAATTCACTTTTTTCCACTGAGTAATTTCCTTTTCTCTGGATCCTCAATATTACAAGATTCACAGTATGATAGCTTTTGTCATCTCCCCCACCTGGTAGAACTATTTGGAGAAGAACGAAGGTATAGCTGTTAATGAGCGTGAACTCTGGAACCAAACTGCCTAGATTCCAGTCCTTGCTCTGATACTTCCTAGCTGTGTGACCCTGAGCACATCACTTAAATTCTCTATACCTCATTTTTTTTTCTGTAAAACTCCCTGCTTCATAAGGTACTATGTGGAGTACATGAATAAATGGGGCAAAAATGCTTAATCTAGTGTGTAGCAGTAGTGCTATATAAGTATGATCACACAATTTTCTTAATCATTTACATGTAATATCTACTCTTTTAAATTTTAACTTGAGGACAAAATCATATCTCAGTTATCTGTGTAGTCTCTAAATCCCTTACTGCCTCACACAGCAAATTAATAGTCAGTGTATAAATTAGAATCGTCATGATTAATGAACCCTAATTGGATTTTCAGATAGTTTATTTTGAAGATAACATTTTTAAATTCAATTAGCTAAAATAAATCATTGAACAAAAAATTTAACATATATAAATTTTCTGTGTGTAAAGCACGCAGAATGTATGGAGAAGTATGCCTTCTCCGATTTTACATTTGATTCAAGGAGACACACATACAGATAACTACAATATAAGGCAAAGTAGAAAAAGCATACAGTCAAAAAGTGATTATAGGAATTCAAAAGGAGTGACTGGAATGATTAGAAAAAAAATTATTGAGAGGATAAGTAATTATACTGCAATGAGAATGGAACTTTTAGAACAAAGCATACATAAATCAACTCTCTGATAATATTAGCCAATGCTTATTGAATACTTGCTATGCCAGACATTGTGTTTATCATATTTAAACCAGAATAGTCCCATGTGGAAGCATTGTTGTGTTTCATTTCACAAGTGGGAAAACTGAGGCATAGTAAGGCAATGTTAAATAATCTGTCGAAGTCATACAGGTAATACAGAAGAGAGCTGGGATTAGAACCCAGGGAGACTGGATTCAGAACCTGTGTTCACCACCACACGGCAAAACGAGAATTCCAACTTTACTACATGCTGAACTGTTTCTAAAAATATGCTGTATTAAGTTCACTGTAATTTTATTTTCTATTACTTTTTAAATTTATATCTTATCTATGGGTGATAAAAAAGTTATTTCATTTTGACCAACTCAATCTTTCATTTACAATAACAAGTCCTCAAATTCTTCATCTATAAAATAAGAGTTTGAAGCTGTATCAGTAGTTCTCAAGTAGTTCAAAAGCAATTCTTTATTTTAAAATAAAAAGTAATTATGCCACCTTCTATATTACAGTTGTTTGCCTTCCCCTATTTACTGCTTGGTGTGCAGTAGAAAACTTTACAATAAGTCACAAGATTTTGCTGCCTCGAGGAATCCACTGTGCTAGAATAATCTCTAATCTAGTTCTTGACTTTAGGTCCCTCCCTTTCTGGTTTCCAATTTGTCATTTTCTCTCTTCCGTGAGAAGAAACGCATATACTACCCCAATCCCTTAAAAACCTATCAAATTGTCTCTATTATTTTACCTTTATTTCCCTTCTTCCTTCCCTTCTTCCTTCAGCACAGGTTTCTTAGTAAGCAACATGACTTACTTTGCAGAACTCATAATTACTGTTGGACTCTTGTGAAAAGGAACTCTGTCAAAAATACATGAGTTAAAACAATACAAATTTACAGAACTTTAACTTATTTTCTCAAAATAATAAGTAAAGGTTTTTTATATCAATTTTGGGATGAATCCAAATAATTTTCTGGTAGATTAAATTCTAAAGTCAAATCTTTACAAATACTATATACAGACAAAGCAGCTACATTTATTTCCTTTCTCCTTGACACTTTGCCCAGTACTTTCCCCACTGCTTGAGAATGTAATCCAAATGATATTGACAATATTTAGTTTCATATACTTATATAGTAGAAATGTTTGAGAAAAACTAGCATAGAGTTTTAGGCAATATCATTCTTGGTACTGCTGGAGACTGGAGCTTCATTTCTAAGATACCAGTAAGAAATGATCAGCCCCCAGTCCCTGCCCCCCAGTAACCCCTTATGTTTCTCAATATTCAAATCTTTGGGATACATAACCAAAAATAACACTCTGGGTTTTCAGAGTAGTTATATTTTTCTGTTACAATTCTCTTACATTCAGCAGAATCAGTTCAGCCAGCTGCTTCACGCAGAAAGGTATACTTCTGCATTGTCCGCAGCATTAGTTCTCTGGCACTGTGTAAGACTCCTTACGCAGGGCCAGGCCAATTCCTATCTGATGAGGGCTCACTCCAAACCACACAGCAGCATCTGAAAGGCAGTACATACAGGACCTTGCAAAAACAGGGAAGGGTAAATGTAGGTTTACAGTTGTAAGTACATGAAACTTTAAGTTTATTTTTGTATTATTATTTAGTAATTCCTGTATCATTTTCATATGAAAATTTGTAAACCTACTTTTGTCCCACCCTGTATATGCCTTTTGACCATCCCCCTGGAATTGGCCTCTTGTTTCCTTGTGTCTCACTGAACTTATGCAGGTGTTTACCCCAGCATCTGTGCTCCTATTTTTATTGTCAACCCAGGACATCATGCTTATTGATTCTAGAGAGGGGGTTGAGAGAGAGAGAAAGACAAACATCTGTATTTCCTCAGTTGCCTCTCACAGGCATCCTGACTGGGATTGACCCCACAACCGACGCATGTACCCTGATGGGGATTCAAACCTGCAAATTTTCAGTTCACAAGATACCCCTCCAACCCACAGAGCCACACCAGACAGGGCAGCACCTGTACTACTTTATTGTAGATTATGGTTTATATGTCTCTCTTTCCTTTCTTATTGGCCTTTGTATCCACAACATCTAGTGTAGTGCTTGGCTTATGGTAAATGGGTAATTAATGTTTATTGAATGAAAAGTCTGGATTAAGAAGCAACAAGTTAGCTAAGTAATTGAACCAAGTACTAAGTGAAGTAATAAATATGGAGTGGTAGACCGAGGGGAGCGAGCAGCGCAGGATAATCCTCTCAGGGCTGACATAGACAGGGGATAGGTATTGTAGAAGTGTGGAGACAGGAACAAGGAGAGGTCCAGGTGGAAGACAATGGGAGCTGGCCTAGCTGACCCAGCTTGGGAAGTAAACAGAACTAAGTTCGGACATACCAATGACTTAGAGACGCTCGATAGAAACTCCTGAAAGTTAGAATTAAAGAATTTAGAATTGATTCGGAAGTAATAGGGAGATACTCTAGTTCTCTGGTTTGGACAATGAGTGTTCAAAGTAGTATTTTAAAGTTTTAATCTAATGGATGCGTGTTTATGTGAGAATTTATGTATATTAAACAGCAGGCCATAAAATACTGATTTTAGTCTGTGGGTCTTCAGTTGATCCTAAAGATTTCTTTCTTTCTCTTCTCACCCCACAGGTGGTTATTTTGTACTTTGAGCCAAACACATTTCGCTGTATTCTCCTAAGATGGGTCCGCCTCCTTGGTTTTGCTACCGTTTATGGAACTGTCACTCTCAAGCTCCACAGGTATATTTTACCATTTTTAATTCTCATGGGAGGATCAGTGTGGCTCAGCATATCATTACAAGCTAGACCAGCCAATTAAATTGTTTAATTTCAAGAATTTAGACAGCAAGAAGATCTATATTTTTATTTTCAAAGCAATATCTTTAAGGTTCAATAGGAAGATGTTTAATACAACTGAATTTGAATACATGGTTTAATAAAACATGCCATTGGTCTTGGAAAGTTTAATTCTGAATAGAATAAGTTCATAATGAATGCAAAACATTATCGACTAGCTAAGAACAGGAATAAATACAAAGACAATGTAGCTGAAATAATAATCCAGGCCCAGAGCTACCAAAGAATCCTCTATAGTAGAATTCACTTACATGTTTATTTTACTACAACTGCTGTCCACCATTTCCAAGTTCCATGCCCCAGGGCAATCCTGCTGATATTCTGTGGGTGAAATTGGAGAAAAATAGTGTTTCTAGCTTTCCTCTTTAAACAATGTGCTTCAGTAATGATCAGCTTTGCACATTGGAGAATACTGTAAATTACCTTATTTTTGCTTCAAAGTTAACTACTTTTAAAATGTCTATGATCAATATTAGGAAGAAAGAGGAAATAAAATAAATTACTGTCTACAAAGACTAGGGATGGCTGGAAATTATTCCAGGGCTTTCTCTTGCCTCCTCTTCCCAAGTTTTCTCAATGTAGTGGTGTCAAAGAGCTTAGGAGAGGAAGTATGAGTTTCTCCTATAGGATGAAACTCATTCCACAGAGGGAACCCTCTATGCTGATTAGCTTTAAAGCTGGTTAACAACCACAAAAAGCCATTCATCTCTCCATGCTAACCTTTCCATAAGTTTTTATCAATATAAGTATTTTAATATGCCTCATTCTATAATTTATCTTAGTCACCATAGTATGTGGTATATTTGACTTTAAATGTATCTCCTTTGAACATTTCTTAAGATGTGATTGTTGTATTCTCTACTACATAATCTCCATTTTATTTCCTTTTTGGGAGGGTGGGGAAGTACTTATTTACTGGGGAGGCCTCAGGTTGTCTTTTTGGAAAAATGTAAATATCCTTAACTCTCAGTATATCAAATAGTACAAAGAATGTTGCACTGGATTTCATGGTGTCCAGTTTAAATCTGCTTAGCATCTAACTCTAAGAAATCATAGACCTCTAATTCCTAGAATAGGAAAGTATTAGAGCAATCTCTAATGTTCTTTCTGAGGCCCACATTATTATTTCCACATGACAGCATACTTTATTCTTCAAGTATGCCTTCTATTCTTCAAGTACCAACTGATTTCCGTTCCTTATATGATAGCTATTCTTTATTTTTTCACTGGTGGTCACTCACTAAAGGAAATAAGAAATCATTGGCAACTTAAGGTAGACATAAGACTTCTGGAAATTCCGAATGAATAGGTGGCCTATTGAGACTCGAAATGACTTCTCTCCCTGTGAGTCTAGCACTTAGCATCTGTTAAGTGTGCTTATTCAATTATCTTCTTAATTTTCATCTAGTTTACTTTCTTTTTGAAGTGAGGGTCTTACCAGGTCTCAGCACAATGACTGACATGTGGTAGGTATTTAATGCATATTAATTGATGAGTGAATGAATCAAGGTGATAGATGCAGACTTAGAAGCTGCTTTGATCACTTCTGTCCATATCCAATACATGTATATTCTCCTACCTCACTATATGTTCTCAAGTACATGTCTGGAACACTATGGTTTGCAAGAGGATATTTTTGGTAGAATGAAAATACAGTATTAGGTATCACTGAATCATGTAATGAGAAAACTACTTCCATTCAGGTTCTCTTTCTATCCTTCTGATCACTTCCAGGAGAAAAATTAGTGTGGACTGAGTAGGTCTTTAACACTTGCCAAGCAGTTATACTTTTTTTAAAATATATTTTATTAATTATGCCATTACAGTTGTTCTATTCCCCCCTTCATCCTGCACACCCCCTCCCCCAGCATTCCCCCCTTTAGTTTATGACCACGTGTCTCAAGTTTTTTAGATTCTATATTTCCCACAGTTATTCTTTATTGGCAAAAAGGAGCAGATCAAGTCAGGCTCAGAGCTTTCCCATGCAATGCTATCTAGATATAACTTATTAACTTTGGCTCACTGTATTTATTTTCGTAGTTACTTTCTATGTATAGGCTATCAGTTTTTCACTGAAAGTAGCAATATGTTTTCTTTAAAATGTTTCAAAGCAATAAATAAAAGTTGGTTTAAAGAATATATTGGCTGGTGTGCATATATCAAGAGAAATCTCCAGGGAGGTAAGCCAAGGATTGAAATTTAGTAAACTACATTATTTCATCATATTTTTGTTTATTTTAAAGACCGGAAATAAAACTATTTTTTCTCTATGTGTTTTAGAAGTCACTGCAGTGAAGAATTACCCTACTGAAGGCTTAAATTGAGTAGAAACTGTTTCTAGTTTAATGAGCTGAATTATTCTTATCTTGTCTGAGCCATATGGCTTTATATTATATTCTGTTCTTTTCCATGCTGCTTAAATTTAACTGATTCCAATATAAAGTCTGTTAACTGAACAATCAGCTTTTCAGAGGGTTGTGAGCAGCCTGATGGAAGTGACAGGCTGACCCAGCTTTGTACTCCCTGTTCTTATTGCTGCACCTTGCACCTATTATATATAGTTGACCCTTGAACATTGCTGGAGTTAAGGGCACCGATACCCCTGGAAGTCAAAAATTCATGTATCACTTTTGACTCCACAAAAGTTAACTACTGATAGCCTACTGTTGACCGGTAGCCATGCCAAGAGCATAAACAGTCAATTAATTTTTACATATTTTGTATATTATGTATATATTATATACTATATTCTTATAGTAAAACAAGCAAAAGAAAAGAAAACATTATTTAAAAATCATAAGGAAGAGAAAAATACATTTGCAGTATTTATTGAAGAAATTTCACCTATAAGTGGACCCATGCTGTACAAATTTATGTTATTCAAGGGTCAGTTGTATCCCGGTATTTGTTAAGTGAATGAGTGAGTGGATGGTTACACTGAATGGAACGCAAGGAATGTTTTTGGCTGGGGCATCTGATAGAATCAAACAACATGTGGTCCCGAAGAATTCAACTCTTAAGATTTTGTAGTAACATGATAGGAAGACATAAATCCTAACAAATCCAAATTTGTATTCCAATTCTGCTATTAACTATTTATACAACCAAGTATAAATAACTTTAAAATATGAGAATGGGAGGGAGGTGGGGAGCACTGGGCGGGGGGGGCGGCTGGGATGGGAGAAATAGACAAAAAACTGTGCTTGAAAAATAACTAAATAAAATTAAAAAAAAAACAAAAAAAAGAATCTGTTTTTTTTTTTCACCTCACTTCTAAAGTTGTTCTAAAGATTAAGCATGATTGGGGTATATGTAAATATTTCAGGTAGGGGTTTTTGATTGCAAACCACAAGTTCTAACCCTGGCTCAATTAATCAAAAAGGAAATTCACTGGAAGAATATAGGGAAGTCACAGAATTAAAAGGAAACCTAAAGAACTAGGCTTTAGAGGACCTGAGCCAAAGTAGATTGAGGGATCAGGTAGCCTGGACTAAGTGATAAGGTCCCTTGAATTCCATAGACTCATTTGCATAGGAACTTAATTTTTTATTACAACATTTGTCTTAATCCTCACCTAAGGATATTTTTTTTTTCATTGCTTATTAAAGAGGAATGGGGGTAGAGAGACAGAAAGAGAAACATCTATGTGAGAAAGAAGCACTGATTGGTTACCTTCCTGCACGTGCCCTGATGGGGAGTTGACCTGTGACCTTTTGGTATATGGGACAACACTCCAACCAACTGAGCCACCCAGCCAGGGATCATGATTTTTTTTTTAAGTAAGTCCTACCTCTCTAGGCAGAAAATTTTAAGGAAATTATAAACACTGATATATAAAATGACTGTTAAAAGTCCCTTGAGAATAGAATAGGCAAGAAAGACTTACATTTTTATTTCAGCCACTTCACTGAAGGCTTAGTAAAATTATTGAATATGTTTTCATTACCTCCTGGTCTCTCACTGACTGATTACAGTGTTTACAGAATTCTAGTAGCTCTGAAAACTTGAAGCAAATATTTTTAAAAAACAAGACATTACCCTGTCACACAAATAATAATATTAAACATGAGAACGTAAAGGTTTTATTCACTTTTATCAAATCTCCCACTTTTGAGAGTCATACAGCCAATGGAAGTACCAATACCAACCCACAGGAAAATTGTAAAACAGTCCTTGTTTACTAACAGTGCAATACAGGAATGCGATAAGTTGGGGGAGGGGTGAGAGTTGTCCTCCCCTTCAGAGAGGGGTATTTTATTACTAACATTTAGAATCATCATCACATGTGATAATAAAAAAGAATCAACTATTTTTTTTATTGTTGTTCAAGTACAATTGTCTCCATTTTCATCCCACCACAATCCTCCACCCCACCCATTCCTGCTTCCCACCCTTGGCTTTGTTCATGTGTCCTGCCCCCTTTTGTTAATGTGAACCTGGCCCCTTTGGCTTTGTTCATGTGTCCCTCAAACCTATTCCTTGATGGCCCTTCTCCTATTTATTATCTCCTATGATTTCACCTATAAGTGGAACCTAATCAACAAAACAAATAAGCAAGCAAAATACAACCAGAGACATTGAAATGAAGAACAAAATGACTACCCAGAGGAGGGGAGAGAGGAATAATAGAGAACCAACTTTTAATTGTCTTTACTATTGCCTTAATTTTTTTTTACAGATAAATGGGCCACTTTGTTACCTTACTCTGGGTAGACCAGCCCCACTGTCTTACTTCATTGGCAGACCATTTATGTAAAAGAATTTAATTGAATCTTAAACTATTTATTCCTCTTTGGGACTAGAAAGAATGGCACATGTTGTAGCAGCTCAGTATGGATTATAAGGAAAAATGGAGCTGAAGTAGGCAAAAATGAAGACATTTC